ATACATACATACATACATACATACATACATACATACATACATACATACATACATACATACATACATATAGGCACTCACATAAAATTGGGCCGATATAATTCAAGTCTTCCCTCTAATTTGATACAAATTTGGCCTATAAATAGGGATTTTTTGATAAATTGGGCCGTCTCTTGTCTTTTATACCATTTTTCTGTTCTGTTGGCAGACAAGCGACCATAAAAGTTTGCCAGCAAGTCAACAGACCCTTCAACCAACTTTTCTCGAAAGGGAGACTTCTGAAATAGCCCTCTCCAATAGTCGACAACATCAGCTCGACCCCTCGGACGAAATAAATAGTTTATTTCGTCATTTTTCCCACCGAACTGAATTGGCGTCCAGTGCTGGAGGAATCCGGGCCGGACGCCAGAGGTTGAAATATCATGTCTCGAGTCTGCAGTCCTTTGCTGTACTACACCCACTTAACCTTTGACCTATGTTCTTCTTTCGCCTCCACCCTCCTCCAGCTCCGTACGTCTCGATATCGTCATCATCCGTCTCCTCCTCCTTATCCTCCTCCTCCTCTTCGTCATCGTCGTTATCCTCGACCTCCTGTCTCGCCTTCCCTTCGCCTCCCGTCGCCATGGCCACCACCGCGTGTCTTCTGCCGGTTCTGCCCGGTCGAACGCCTGGTCCTATGGCCGGCGTCGTCTCGATACCGACTGTTTGCCCGACTGTCGGACTCACGACAAGTCAACACAAAGCCTGTCCAACTGTTACTCAAAATGGTGTGAATTTGAGCACCGGTGCCACGACGGCTGCGGCCACAGCTGCGGCCGTCGTGGCTTTGGGCGCCGGACGACGTAGAAAGGCGAGAACCGTCTTCTCGGACAGTCAATTAAACGGACTGGAGAAGCGCTTCGAAAGTCAACGCTACCTCTCCACTCCGGAGAGAATCGAGCTGGCCACACGTCTTGGACTGTCGGAAACTCAGGTCAGTAGTTCACATGCATTTGGCGACAGTAAATAGTTTAATCTAAGGTATGAATACCAAGATGGTGTGGTTTTTTGTGGGATCGAAGTTTCCTTTCGTTGTATAGAAGTTGTTTTACCTTGTTTACGCAACTTGGTCATGTTGGTAGGAAGAACCGAATAAGAATGTATCAAAATCGCGTCGGAGCCGAAAGATGCCGTCATGGGGCTATCCGCCGACCACGAGTTGTCCGGTGGCAAATGACGGTGGGAAAAATGACGAAATAAACTTTTTATTGAATAGAAGTTGTTTGATCTTGTTTTCGCAACTTGGTCATGTTGGTTGGAAGACTTAGAGGAACGCACCTTGTCCTGAGTCCATTGTATGCATCATCATTTCCAGAATAGGACCGTGGACGTGGTACATTTCCGACATCGTGAGTGAGT